ATATAACCTTTTTTTAAGACGTTTTCTTACCTCTAGCTTTAATACCTTCTTTTTCTCCTTATAGTGCCTTTATTTTAGCTATATTAAGTAACCCTTTAAGATATAGTTAGGTCTTTTTAGCTCTTTAATACTTACTTAGTATATTTATCTTAAAATAAAGTCTAACGTTCTTAGCCTTAATTAAAGTAAACTTATATACTAACTTACTAATACCTTTAGCTTAAAGGTTAATTATCTTATATATTAGTATTAGTAAGCTTTTTTAATATCTCTAGATCTTTTTTTTAGTAAACTAATACTTTATATATCTTTTAGTACTATAGTTAGTATTTTTAGGTCTTAAAGCCTAAGCTAGTTAGATATAAGCTACTTAGTATTAATATATTTAGCTTAAAATCTAAGTAAAAAAGAACTACTTTAAGATTAAAAAGTATAAAGCTAGTATATTTAAAGCTAGCTTATATACTTTTTTTATTAAAAGAAGAAATACTACTTAAAAAAAAGTTATTTTATATAATATATAAAATCTATATTTATATTATTTTTTTACTTTCCTTACTATATAAAAGCTTTAATAAGCTAAAATAACTTATATTAAGAGGCTAAAGCTTATATAATAAATAAAAAGGTATATATAAAGTAATAACTTTTTATTTTTTAAAAAGATTATTAAATATAGTTAATTTATAGCTATTATAGCTATTAAGAACTAAGAATTAATAAGTACTTTTTATATAAGACTTTATATAAAAGTTAAAATAATCTAACTAATTTAGGCTAATTCTTTTATTATTTATTTATTTTTACTTAAGTAAATATACTATCTAGCTAAGAATTAGTTATTTTAGTATTATAAAAAAAGTAATATTTACTTTTTATAATAATATATAAAGGTATTACTTAGCTATTTATATATATATCTTAAATATTAAAAGCTTATTCTTAATTACTAAGCTACTTTATATAAGGCCTTTTTTTATAATTAGAGGTTATTATAACCTTTATATATAATAGTATTTTTATTAACAACTTAGTCTTATTAAAATTATAAATATTATAATCTTATATCTTATACTTTATAATTATATTTTATATAAGTATAAACTAGCCTTATATAATTAAAAGATCTTTAGCTAAGGCCTTTTAATAGTTATTTAATATTAAAATTATATTTTTAATTAAGGTTACTATTATATTAAGTTCTTTACTTATTAAGGTCTAATATATACTATATTATACTTATTTTAAAGTTAGTTAGCTATATCTTATATATTATCTTAGTATAAAAAAAACCCTTAATTAATTAGGTTAATAACTTTTTTAAGAAGTACCTCTTTTTCTACTTTTATTATTTCGTTTAATTCTAAACACGTCTTAGCTTATATAATACGTCTAGCGTATTAGTTATAAAAGATTAATTTAGAGACCTTAAACGTATAAGCTGCTTTTTATATAGGTATTTTTAGGTCTTTTTAAATAGCTTAGAGGGTAAAGATAATTTAGCTTTCTTTAGAAGAGGACTTTATATTTATATATTAAGAAAAGTAAATATAAAGGTCAAAGAGGTAAAAAAGTAACAGAAGTGTTTTACTTACTATATAGGTATGTTAGTAGTAGTTACTATAAAAGTTAACTACTTATTAGTATTAGTTATTACTAAAGTAGTAATATAGTTAACTATATATATTAATAGTTAGTAATATAGTAATTAAAATCTAGGTTTTACTTTTGTTATTTATTACTACTTATTAATATATATAGTTAACTATATTACTACCTTATTAATAACTAATTATTATAATATTAATTATTACCTAGATATTAGTAGTATAGATTAATACTAATAATACTGTACATAACTATAGCTAATTTACTATAAAATCCACTAGATTTATAAGAGGGTTATATAGTAATTTTACTATAAATCTATAAGATCTTTAGGTATATTATATAGTAAATTTCCTAATTAATCTTGTAATAGTTTTCCTCTTTATATATAATTCAAAACTAGTTTTTATCTCGTATTATTTATTACTACCTCTTAATACGTATAGTTAACTATATTACTACTTTAGTAATAACTAAGAATTACGTCTTTAGGCCTTTTATAGGTAACTAGGAAATAAAGATAATTTATAGCACTTTAGAAAGTTACTAGTGTTATAATATTAATTATTACTTGTATATTAGTAGTATAGATTAACGCTAATATAGCTAGACTAACTATAGCTAATTTACTATACATCTACTAAGAGATTATATAGTAATTTTACTATAGATCTACTAGATTTATAGGTATATTATATAGTAATTTTACTATCTAATCTTATTATAGGTTTTTTCTTTATTTATAATTTATAACTAGTATTTATCCTTATTATTTATTACTACTTATTAATATATATAGTTAACTATATTATTATCTTAGTAGTAACTAATAAGTATTTTCTACTTTAATAAATAAAATAAATATATAGCTAGGTTTCTAATAAGCTAGTCTTATACTATTTAATTCTAAAGTTATTATTTCTTATTAAGCTTTTAAGCTAAAGACACTAACACTAGTAAACTTCTATTTAAGTAGCTTAGGCTTATAAGACCTAAAGACGCTAATAATAGTACTTAAGAGTACATAAACCTTTACTATATTAGAAAAAAAACCTATTAAAGAAGTTTATAAATACTTATATATAAGGTAGTTAACTTATAGTTAAAAAGTACTAGTAAGTTAGTATATCTACCTTATATTATTAAAGTTAAAAACTATTAACTTTATATTAGAGGGCTTAAAAGACCTAACTATATCTTATTAAGTTACTTACTATAACTAAAGTAAATACGCTATAAAGAGAATAAGAAGACATTAAAGCTGGAGATAGGAAAGCGTCCTAGAAGAAGAGTTATATAGAAGACAGTAAACTATATATATAATAAGATAGTAATTATAAAAAGACTAAATATAATATATTAAGCTATAAAGTATTTTAAGATAGTAATAAAAATAAGGTAACATATAGTTTTAATTAACTTTTTATAACATATTTAAATTAACTTATAAAAATAATAGAAATATAGAAAGATATAGTCTACTTACTATAATTATCTTCTTACTATATAGATATATTATAGTTATCTTATAGTAAATAATTAAGAAATAAGTAGTAATATTACTTTACTTTCTAGGTAAACTTACTTATTAGATAGCTAGAATTAGCCTAGGACTTTCTAACTAAGAAATAAAGAGATTTCCTTAGTTTTATATAACTTTACTACAAATATATATAATATAGAATTAACTAATTAACTATTATAATTACTATAATTTTATAATTATTCTTTATTAGTTCTACTAAAGCTGTAATATAGTTAACTATTTATAATACTAGTAAATAATTAGTTATAAAATAGTATCTATAGAATTACTAGTAGATATACTATATAATCTACTATAAGATCTAGTAGATCTACAGTAATATAGCTATAGTTATTCTACTTATTAATATTACTTTATAATACTAATAGCTTTATAATAAGTAGTATTATTATAGTTTTATATACTAATATTACTATAGAAAGCCACTAGTATAGAGCTATTTTACAAGTTAAATAAACTTAAGCTAATATTTTATAATTATTCTTAGTAGTAGTTACTTTCTTTATCCTTATTATCTACTAATAGCTTAACTATTAAATAGTAATATAACTAATTACTATTTTTAATTAATCTGTCTTAAAATATTTAAACCTTATCTTTTTAAGTAGGTAAATCTATTTAAGATATACTGCTTATATTTAAATGCCCTGTCTTAATGTCTATTCTGGCCCATCAGACTAATTATTGGCCCCACTCTGGCCACGATTTGACAAACACTTTCAGCAAACGTCCGGAACCAATTAGAGCGGATACCCAGATGTCCTCCGCATCTCCGCCCAGCCAAATCTAGCCTAGCACCAGAAGTGTGAGTCACACTTTGCTCCGGACTAAGGATTATGTCCATCCTTCATGTAGGCGGAGCTGATGTCGCACCTCTTCAAATACATCTAGCAACAGTATACAGTTACTGTTCTTCCGTGAGCCTGCCGGCTGGTGTATGCCTAGAGAGATACTTCGGTACATGAGACTGTCGTACCCACTGATGTACCTTTCTTACAGGGCTTCCGAACCGTGCGCCCTTTGCCTTGTCGCCTTCTTGGAAGGTCATTGTCGGCAATTTTGGCCTATTATTATCCGTCAGGCTACAAAAGGTCGCTAGTCCCTCCGAGCCATCCATTAAAAATTTTGCCCTTTCTCCCTCTCTTCTCCATCATCACCGCACCATCACAGAAATCATATCTAGTTGAAATTGCCTCGGAGGCTAGCAACCATGCATTAAATCACCGTTTCCCTTGTCTTCTCGCTTCCCGACCCCGCTACGATTCATCTCACAATTCCACCAACTTCCCTTCCCACTCAGTTCAATTCTTCAGTTCAACCTTCTCAGGTCGATCTGAATTTCACTACGGCTTCCAGCTTTAGCTCAGGTTCTCCCTCGTCTGCAACCATTCAACCGCAAGACTTTCCAGTCTTCACCACGGATTCCCAATCACAATGGCTTCCCTCCAGTTCACCCAGCCTGCCGGCATTACCCGCGCATCAACAACAGTTCAGCCCACCCGAGCAACCTCAACAGGACTTCGTCTTGTTCGACCAGCCTCAAACCAATCAACCTAGAAACTTCGCTGCACAAGCTGCCTTTAGTCTTAACCAACGTCGTCACTCGTCTCATCATCGCCAGCACCAAGCGCAAGGTCGCGTAAAGCCTCATCATAGCCATCGATTCGCTCGGATTCAGGCGTCTGGCCCACGCCACCACCCTCGGTTGTCTGCGGTTTACTCTCCTGCTCAATCAGCCCAATTCTACGCCTCATCCGCCCCATCTTCTTCGGCTGCGCTGAATCGTCGTCAGCGCCCGCCTGTCCCGTTGTTTTCCCAGAGCAGCCACGAACAAACAACTCCCAAGATGGACCTGCATGGTATGTAGCCTCTTCAATCTAACTTTCCACACTCGCTCACATAGCTTAGACTTGGATCTTGAGGACTTTACTGGCTTTGAGGGCGGCGCCTCTACTACCTACTCGTCGCCCGCCATGCCTTCCGTCTTTGACCTCGGCGGAAGCGCGGCGGGTGCCAGTAACTTGGGAACTGTGTCTCCCCAGGACTTGTTTATCCAGGAGCCTTTCATGTCTGCTCCAAATTCAACGGCTTTGACGGCCTTGACCTCGCCCTCTGTCTACAACGAATCTCCTGAGTTTAACGATAGCTATAATGTCTCTCCCAACTTCGGGACTGGCGACTTCGGCACTGGTGATTTCGACTCTGGCTCGGGTGATTCATGGTTTCCATTGTTCCCCCAAGAACCAGCACCAGCTAGTAAGGATACTGTTGCCGACAAACAACAACTGGTCGAGCAGTCGCCCGCCACCAACGCTGATGATCTTGAGGTTGTTGAATCTTCGTCTTCCTCTGGGCATCGAAAGTCTGCCAACTCATCTCCGTCTGGCTCCGCACGTCATTCCTCCGTTGCGGGTGTCAACTCTCGTCGACGAGACAAGCCGTTGCCTCCCATCATTGTTGAGGACCCCAATGACACTATCGCCATGAAGCGGGCCAGGAATACCCTTGCTGCTCGCAAGTCTCGCGAGCGCAAGGCACAACGTTTCGAAGATCTTGAGGAGAAAATCCGCAAATTGGAAGCAGAGCGAGATCACTGGAAGAGTATTGCTTTGGGTCGGTCTTGAATCGCCGGGCTGAAATGCGGTGGTGAACTTGGAGGGGATCTACAGACAACATGTTGTCTGGTTGTCTGTCCCCTTTCATCCTTACCTCCTTCAATGTCGCCATTAATTATCAAGACAGGTTTTCGTGTTTTTTATTGTAGCTGGACCCCATTGTTCCATTGCCATATTCCTTCAATAAAGCTTTTGTTTATGAATGACTGCCTGAATAGATCCCAGCGGCCTGACAGTGCTCAGAGCTTCTGCGCTCTTCATAGTCTGAAACTATGCGTGTCAGTCAAAGAAATTAGAGTCTGTTAGAGCGAGTCCCAAGCTGGACTTCGGAAAATGATGGCTGGTGATTAGACTGGACCATACTTGTTTTGACTTGACCAATTTCGTGGACTTTCTTGCACTCACTCGCTATATTAAATCTGAACTATCACTTTAAAATTGGTCATATTTTCATGCCTTACGTCTTAAAGCGCCATGACCAGGGGTGAGTCTAGGCTATGTCTGGCAGCATGCTTCTGGTTCCAATTTCTCAGTTGAATGTCTGTCCAATTACCCATATTGCCGTATTTGCAGCGTAACGGCAACAGTAGGCCCACATGTGCTCAGCTCTGTGAAAACGTATACTGATCAATGCCCCGCACGGATGTCTTGTAGGCAGGTAATAGCTGTCGTGCTTGTCACCAGTTTCACACATTCGTGATTCAGGGCTGAAGCCTAGTTAGGATCAGCTGTTTCCGGGGGCGACGGTGATAAGAGCCGTCTTCTCGCAATTGCCTCCTCTGCCCAGTCAGAGAGCTCGCGAGGCGAGCTTTGTCGTGATGTCGGTCTCTCGTATTGAGTTGGCGAGTGAACCATGCCCTGCCGGGCTTTCGCCCATAGTCAATTTCCGGCTATGCGCTCACCGCCGGCGCTAGTTTCTAGAATTTCGTTGTTTACAATGTCTTTGTTGCCATCTCGAAAATCCTTCATAAGCAGGAGAAATTGGGAATTTTTCCACTTGTCTCCGTTCTCATGCTGAACTGACTGTAAAATTTGCCTTGCGGCTTCCGATATCTCCGTTTGAGACTGAGCATGCTCTACGGGCCTGGGAGCTGCCGATTCAGAAGCTTCGTGGAGGTTGAGCTGTGACATATCGGGTACTTGCTCCAAATGATTCATGTTGCTCGGCACAGCGGCGTTCCTCGTGTCAAACAGGCTTTGCCCATCATTTGCTTGTTGGTTGATAGTCTCTGCAACAAGGTTTGTTCGCGTGTGCTCCGTGGTATTCTCCAAGGAAACACTCGGCGGTGAGATTGTGGCGGTATCCATTGAAGCGGTGAGGTCGATGCTAAACAGGTGGCCGGCAGTGCTAGATTGTTGTTCTTCTTGCTGTGCCAACTCTCGCGCAATCTGTTCCATAACGGCGTCGACCTGTTCCATTCGGCCGTCTCCGTGCGTTGCCACCCACTGGCCCATTTCAAGATCAAAATCAGCCTCAGCGCTTGCCATATTGCTGACGGCGCTGCCAGCAACAGGCCTAGAGATAGATGGTCCAGCTTGTGGCGGCATCATGTTGTGTGCGAATGCGGGCGGGATCAATGGACGGTATTGAGTAGCCAGGGACCCAGACGGTAGGCTCCCTGCATTCGAAACCCCGCCAACAAACCTTGTGAAGTCCTGCGCCCATGTGGGCGTCGCTGTTGGCGAGCTTGCGGCGTAATTTTGCCTGTGTGGTGTATGCATAGCTGCTCCACCGGCTGCACTCGATACTCGAGAAACGGAAGATCGATTTGGATCAGGAGAGAGTCGATAAACGTGCTGAGTGTCTGGCATCTTAGGCGTCTGCAAGGCCTGGAAGGACCTCGTGATAGGGGTGACATAGGTCGAAAGCTTAACTGAGTCGATTTGGGCAGTTGAATTTGATCCAAGAAATGTTCCAAAGTTCGCTTGTGCCTGTGCTGGAGGGACTGAGCCGGCAGACCGAAAACCCTTGCTTTCGATTAGCAGAATGGTCAAAGGAGTACCTGTCCTAGGAAATCTCTTACCTGCTGGACACGGGGAGCGTCGACGAAACGATCTTGGTGAAGGCTTCGATCATGTGAGCCATGCTCTACAAGGCTCTTGAACGGCGTAGAGCCGCCACAGGAGCTATCGGACATTGCGAAGTAACCCAAAGCGAAGTACAGGCAACCTATGTTTGTCTTGGACAAGAAGTGATACGGTGATAATCGAGATGAGGGATTCTGTCCGAAAGGCTTGCAGGGATAGGTAAAGCTGTGGTCCGTTGGTGCAATACTGATGTTATTTACAGCGGGAATACACACTGTCTATCGCATAGGGAAATGATGTGGTGGTCCGGAGAGGGGTTTCATGGCCAAGCGGTCCAGATCACGATGCTGACTAGGAAAGGCATCCAGAGATTGTGGCGATGTGCTGTCCCTTGTGACAGGTTTGTCAATCTCTGATACACTGATATCGAACAGTATGAAGTACCTCGGCATCAGCCTACCTCGAGTACCCACCCAGGCAGGAAGTAGGTAATCAGTAGCGGAAGGCGGGGAAGATGGGGCAAAACGCAAATAATCTCACGTGCCAATCACGGGTCTTGAGAACTCATCGGATGATAGTTAAGCCGAACGTCAAGATCCACGGACCACGAGCCAGTTGTCCGTCTCATACCGCCTACCAAAAATGCTCGAGTTCCAGAAATGCTGCTTCATCGCTGAGGTACGTACATTACAGCAGCCAACGATTGGATCTTTAGCTGAGGCTAGCTTGGAAGTAGCTCTTGAAAGGTGGCTACTGTATTGAAGCAACATCACAATTACCACCACCTTGACGACGTGCAGCGAACGGAATTATTGATTTCCCTTAGACCAACCCATCTCAATCGGTCCGGCCCTACAACAGACGGTTCCTTGGACATATCCATTCGCAATGGTTTGTTTTGTCCTTTCACACCCTCTATATTTGGTACTAACATGGGCCATCTTGGTTGGAGGCTTCTGCCCAGATTATATCGAATTCAGGTCACGATGACATGATTGTACGTGTTTCTCCATGATGCCTCCCATTCTGCTTTGTATTTGATGCTCACCCAAGCCCGAGTGCGAGCCTGGCACTAAAACCAAGCAATGCGGCTCCATGTCCCACAAGCTGCGCAACGTTGTTCTGTCGAGCTAATCATATTTTACCGCACAGCACGATGCCGTTCTTGATTACTACGGTCGCCGACTTGCGACGTGCTCAAGCGATCGGACCATCAAGATCTTCGAAATAGAGGGAGACTCTCAGCGACTCGTCGAGACCCTCAAAGGGTAGGCACCCTCCAGACTTAGACCGTGTTGGACGTTTGTTCCTCCCGCTGACCCTGCGACAGTCATGATGGCGCAGTCTGGTGTGTTTCGTGGGCGCACCCTAAATATGGAAATATTTTAGCCTCGGCAGGCTATGACGGCAAGGTTTTCATCTGGAGAGAGCAAAACAACCAGTGGCAGAAGATCTTCGACTTTGCCCTGCACAAAGCCTCCGTCAATATTGTCTCATGGTCACCACATGAATCCGGCTGCCTCCTAGCATGCGCCTCCTCGGACGGGAATGTCAGCATCCTTGAATTTCGCGATAACAGCTTCGACCATGTCACCTTCCCTGCTCATGGGTTGGGTGTCAACTCTGTCTCGTGGGCTCCAGCAACGGCGCCTGGAAGCATCATTAGCAGCTCTCCCGGCCCTGGTTCAGCAGGTGTAAGACGTTTTGTTACGGGTGGCTGTGATAATCTGCTCAAGATTTGGGTCTTCGACTCGGCCTCACAGTCGTACAAGCAGGAACAGGAGGCGCTTTCCGGCCACACCGACTGGGTTCGTGACGTTGCGTGGTCACCAACGGTTTTGCAGAAGTCGTACATTGCTTCGGCATCCCAGGATAAGACTGTCCGCATCTGGACCTCAGATGCGTCAAGTACGGGCCAATGGAGCTGTAAGGTCCTCACCTTCGATGCCGCCGTCTGGAGAGTCAGCTGGTCCTTGAGCGGCAACGTTCTGGCAGTGAGCGGAGGTGACAACAAAGTGTCGTTGTGGAAAGAGAACCTCAGGGGTGATTGGGAATGCGTTAAGAGTATCGAGGAGTGATCGGGTATTAATGTGTCACCATAAGCAAGGCGTTCGCGGCAAGATAGAGCAAAGTTACGCGATTGCCCTCCTGGGTTTGACGTCCAATTGAAGCTACTGTTGCAGGCAAACCTAAACCTGACGTCGCAGATATGGATATGGGCGATAGAGGAAGAAACAATAGGCTTTTCTTGAGATTCCATCACGATCTTGTCCGCTCGTAGTGCACCATTCCTCTAGGCAGCCCGTTGGATGTGATGCGTAACATTCAGCTCTCGTCACTGATCCAGCCCCGCGACGAAGTCGCGGCGGACTCTGCCGAAGAGCTCGTTGACGTTGATACCTCAGTCCGCTGGAAGATCGTGTATCGCTCATGCGACATTGGATGCCATGAAGAGTCTGCTGGCCATCCCAGGCAAGTCGCACGGGTCGAAAGCAACTATCTAGCCAGTCATTAACATCCGTATTGCTAAAAATGTCAGTTAGAGAATGTTCGGCTGTTCTCTGGCTCTATGGGCACACATTTGCAAAGTGCGTGCTGGATGGGGTGTAGCCAACGGGTTCATCTCTGCTCCTTTGATGTGTCAGCAATTAGACGCCGTCCAGTCGCGAAAGCATGGCTTCTTCTCAATCCATAGCTTTCCTGAAATGTAACAAATGCTTCGGACCTGTCGGGTGTGAAGTTGATATCTAGCGGAGCAGTACTGGTGTGCTTGGAAGGACAACCTTGACGAGATGCGACGAACGGCGTAGCCGTGTGGTTGAGGGTGCGTGACGAGGCCAAACGAAATTGACCCTCCGTTCTCATGCTACCTCAACCCGGAAAATTTTCTGTGGACCATAGTATGAAGCAGTTTGGGTAGCCGTACTTACCCCCTACATTGTCGATGGTACCATCGATGTAGCCGTGAGATTGAGCTCCTCTGCAGGGTTGTCTCGATGCATGTCGACGCAGTTTCTCTCCAACTGGTCCGCTGGATTCTCGACGGTCCCAATGCCACTAGTGATGGGCTCCTTTGCCACTCCGACAAAATTTCGCAGTCCCTACCCCGGCATAGTGCCTTGAGTCGTAAAGTTGAAGGATTGTGAGTTTTCACCAAGGATCCCGATATCGAATGCGCAAAATTGAGGGCGACTAGTGGATTCTCTGGCAGCGTCTCCGTCGTTGTCAGCCACGCTGTCTCCTGATACTAGTAGAATATCGGGGTTATTATTGGGCAGCAACAAAAGGCGCGTCGTATGGTCAGTGTTGTGCATATTGATGACGATGGTTCTGCTGGAGTCACCAATAATGCCTTCTAGAACCATACATAGACTCTGTCAGCCGTCAAGGCGTAAAGGGAATAACCATTAGGTGATAATCCTATTCCGTGGTTCAAATTGGAGTCATGGGGCGTGTAACGTTAGTCAAATTGAAGTAAAACACTGCTTTGGACACTGCCTTACCTCAGGCGAATCATTGTGAGAGAGAACCGGACGGCGGATAGTGAGAATGGACTAGCAACAGCAAGGAAGGCTGGGGCGTGTCTTGGAAAAGGTCTTGGCCAGGGCGTGAAGCTGCGAAGAGAAGGTCCTCACTCTACGTGTCGATCCTGTCGGCTAGTGATTGCCGCTTTTGGACAACTCAAGGAATAATATTCGTTCCCCCATAGAAAAAACCAATACAAGGCCAATACCGACTATCCTAAGCACCTCCAAGTTGCCACGGAAGAAGAACAGCACTGATGTGTATGCCAAGTGATGGGAGAGCGACGTTGAGAGAAGGGCGACAGGCCGAGATGCTGGACGTGAATGGTGCCCCGCGTACGGTCCTAACGGACAACGCCGTGTCTATGACGAAATAGCCAGGAGAACCAGCCCAATTGATTGTAGCAGCCCGTCCCTCAGCATGGCTGAATGGTCCGGTAATGCCAATAATGGAAGGCTGATAGCTCTCGATAGACAGCTCATCCGTTTCAATTCTACGGTTGAGAAAGCACGAGATAAGGAATATATAGATGCCGGAAGCACACTGTTGTTGCCGGCTTCCCAATCCACTTTCCATGCCTCCACCAAGCCATCAACTTGAATCGCCTTAATTCGAGCAATACTTGGGGGATTTGATACGTATGACGAGGTTTCCTGAGTAGATAAACAGGAATATTAACTTGGACCAGACCCACCGGCCGGGTCGGGCCTCTTCCCAATCCGGGCCATCCCGACCGTCAACTCGCCTCCATCGCCCTGCAACTACCTACATCGAGATCAACCAATGATCCCCTTGGAATGAGTAAAAAAAAGCCAAGAGTAGACAGAAAGAACTCCAGTGTATGATCACAGGTCACAGTAAGCAAGCTGTGAAGGAAGAAAGTCTTTTGAACTTGCCAAAGCTGGCCTTAGTCTGAAGCCATTGCAAATACGCTTAATACTAGTTTCAAGATGTTTCGCCATGGAGAATGAATGATACCCACACGCACAACCAACCAAGTGCAACAAGCGTCCCGTATGTGTGTGTGCTCAACTAAGTGGACGCAAGGAAACCAGTGGATCTTGCCCCCTACCCCCCTAAAGCCAACATTGCGCTGCTCCATTACGCCTGTACCGCCCTCTTGCTACCAGTTACGACCTGTGAATAAGCAAGCCGGACTCATCGGAGGCCGATGACGCTCATCTCTAGGGTCCAAACGCGTCTAATCCAGACCTTAAGTTTGCCCTGGACACCTTCGACGTTTTCAAGCTCGACGCCTTCCCACCAGCAACGCCTCGCGGGCTTGCGCCAAAAAAGTAGTAGCTTCTGCGCCATGCCTACAGCGTTGTTGCCCATCTCGTTACCCCGAATGTCGCTGCGTAGACGTGCCAAGGCCAAGCTACAAACTACCGCCTTGTTCGGCTCGCCTGCCCGGTGACCCCAATTGTCGTCATGATTGAACCCACTACTGTCAAGTAAGCCTCCAATCTGTGGCGTGCATTCATCCGTAAGTGATAAAACCTACCCGGCTGTCAACATCTCAATGAGGTGAGCTTCCGTAGTTCCCGGCTCATCGCTTCGTTTCAGGCCTGAGAATATGCCGCTCTGTTGGAGAAGTGCCTTGCCCGCAGCTCTTTTAACTTCCATCATCTTGGGTTGTGTAATGTCAGCTTGTGGGGGAATGACATAAAAGTCGAGGTCCTCTCGCAGAACGATAATACCCGCTCTCTTTGACGAGTCGTCCCTCGAGCCCATGGAATCACCAGTTGTAGCATCCTCATCCTGGGGAGGGCTTGGAGATGCCTCGGTAGGTATCGACTGCGCGACAGTGCGGAAAAAGTCGAGCATGTACTGCAGCGATGCGGGGTCATACTATTCAGGCATGTCAGCATGATCGGGAGCCTTGTGCAATGTGAAATGACGAGAGGATTGTACGTACATCGACCTGGACAGCATCGCCATCAGGGAAACCACCCATATGACCCTCAGGGAAGAGCCCATTTGGAAAGAGAGACAGAAGTACGAATTCAGGCAACGTCAAGAGCTCGTCCCTCGACAATACGAACCTTGTGCCCCTGCAAGCATTGGCATTAGCATATGGATTTGTTGGTAGAAATAGCAAGCCCTACCGAAGGTCCATGGCAATCGTCTCATCGGCGCCGACATCTATGCCCAAGTCAGTACGCCGGTACGCATCAGTACGGGAGAGTAGAGAAGACTCACCTCCAATGGCATTGATGGGCGGGCCACCTTGCTGTACTTGAGTAATAATACTCGACGCGCCACCGGCGGTAGCCATTAGGAACGTGAAGGACTGAAGTGGACTGGGGCCCTCAGAGTATGCGGGTGGGGGTTCAACGTCGTCGTCCTTCCCGGAAGAGCTACCTTTAGTATCTTGGGGGAGCGCACGCTTTGTTTCGGCGAGAGCCTGATGGAAGAAAGTTGGGGTTGAGATGGATGAAGATTGGTTCACAAAGAGACCAGAGGTTAGCGGTGCATACGCTGGCGCGGCGACCGATGAGGCAGAAGCAGTAATGTTCGGCGCACGTGAGTGACAATTATCTTCAGAATCGCAGGAGTTCTCTAGAGAGGCGATTATGGAAGAGAAAGGCGGTGGCCGCGAAGCTGAGGCCTCGGAAGTGGGATACTGAGGCGGCGGCGATCGGGTCCGAGTCTTGGATCCTGGTGTTGCCTCGTTGTGTTGTTGGTCTGCTTTGTCTTCAAGCTGGAGAGTTTGCCCCCCCTGGAGAGTGACTGTAAGCCGGGAGGACACGGGCTGCCCGTTCCTGGCGTCTGGCGAACTTGGCAACGTGGTGGCGGTTTCGAGAGGGTATTAAAGGTCAGATCGTAGGCTGATGTGGCAGAGTGGCAGTTGGATCGGTCAGGACGCAGTCGCAATTACTTTCATCTGGTCGGGATTCGTGCGTATTTATGGCAACGCCAGAGTGAAGAGCCAAATCCTTATTCGATCTGGCGATAACCGGGTCCTCGCACGGGGAAAGTGGTGGTGGTACCGGGAAATAGTGTGGTTGGCGAAGAGCGAGAACGAAGAGAAGCACGTAAAGTCCCAGTCGGGGATGGAAAGACAGGTCGGTTTGCAGGGAGGGACTGAGACTGTTATTCTTCTTCTCTTTCGGTATTTTTTCCCTCTTCTGGCCTAGATTGAACAATGAGTGTTCCTGAATGGAGATGTGTGAAGGAAATTGGGAGTGAGGCCTGTCGGGGATAGTTTAATGAGGTTGAACAAGCATGGTATTATGGCGCTTACCTAGCTACCTAATACATGTATGTATTGGGGGGTGCCCCACAAATATGCCAAGCCGCATCCGTCCGTCTGCTAACCAATCTGCTTTTCAAAGTGGAGGATTAGCTCCTCATCACCTGCGGCCTCCTGGCTGACGTTTCGCTCCTTAAGTACCTTGACTCCATGACCCCCATATAGGTACCCAGACCACATCACCATAGTGCACCCCCGAAACTCCCTAGACTCATTCTTGCTTGGTAGCCTTTGTTTCCCCAGGTCCCTCCTTCCAGTTTGGACCTCAGGAACTTTGACTTCCTGCTGGAGAGATCTAAGCTGGCCGTGTTCTTCTCTGCAACATTGCATTGTCAGGCGTCTTTGAGGCTCGTGCGGCGCCGGAAGTTCTTGCAACGTGCCTAAACTAAGAGACGTAGAAACCACATTCTGTCAACCGATGAGCAACGCTGTCACCAGGTTTGCTGGCTCTCCTAGCCGCCCATGGCACATATGCGTTTCAATGCTAATAATGTACTATGCTTTGACTACGTTTACACAGCTCGTATTACGACTTCTGGCTTCCAGAAGCCGCGTTGCTTCCTTGTGCAGTAGGTCCTCGGCTGAATTGAGTTGAACGAAGATGGGATACACGGCTGGTTGCAATCCTGGAACCTCGACAAATTCGACAAAGGCGCCCAAGTTCATGGAATCACCGTCAGTTTCTCGACCTTCAAGTTTACATGAAGATGTAGAGCGCAATCAACCGGCTAATCTGATATGACGTATCATCTTCCGAACCAGGTGTGCTGTCATAAAAGACCTACTGGAAGAATGTCGCGGCAAACAGCATCTTAGCCAATACTAAGCTAGTAGCTGCATGTCATAGACAGATATCGTATCCAAGGTCAACGAGTGGGCGGGGCATCACCGGTATCATTGCTACGGCAAATTTGTTCGACACCTACTTTATTCATCCTCGTCACTACTATCGCCAAAGATGGCCTTGAAGACCTCGTCGCTGGGCCGTGAGGCCTCAACAATGATCTCGCATCCGGCTTTGGATACTTCGTCCGTTGACTTTGATAGAACCTTTGCTACATCGGGGCCCGAAAAATCACCCGTTGCGTGCGTCACCACCCCGAAAGAAGACGACGGTTTCGTTGCATCTACCCTGGCAGGTAGTGCATTGTGTAAGCCGCGGGTCTCCGAGGGGGCGCCTGGATTCGAATCCAGCAGAGTATGAGCAGGTGGCCGCACGTTGAAGCGTTTGCACAGCAATCTTGTTGGAAAGAATTCTTCAGTCAATCTCGTCATACGCCCGTACATCCCCATCTTGGCTGCCTCTTCGGCTGGATCCGCTGGTTTAGAAATCTGCTGTACGTTCGAGTCCGAACTGGATCCCGAACCAGTAGGTACCGTGCTCTCTGTTGAGGCAGTTGTGAATCGGGTAGCCATAAATCCCGTCATGGGCTTGAACAGCTGCGCGCACTCATAAAACTCCTCGATCTCCTTGACATAGTCATCATTCGTCACGCCTGGGGGCTTTACAAGAGAGGTGCCACCGAAACCGGCCGCTCTTTGCAGGTAGAGTCGATAACGAGCGCGTTTAGCTTCATCGTTTGCATAAGGTCCGCCGGCGCCTGCACCCCGACTCATTGCTGCAATGGCCGTCTCTTTGGCCAAGCTAGGTATGCTCTGCAGCCTGTCTTGCAGCCTTTGCTCAGACGGCTTGGCATGTTCTGGCAAAAGTTCTCCCTTGGCTGGTGGAAGGTTCTTTCTGCCAGAGGCCGCAGCCAGTCGCTCGCGAGCAGCGGCTGACATGTAGTCAAAAATAGACTTTCCAGGGAGGGTAGATTCGCCTAGAGCAGCTGCTCGAGTTCTGGGATCATGCTGAGCCGCTCTTGCAGCGTCTGCTGCCGGCGTGTACACCGTTCTTTTGTCGGTGTCTATACGCCGCTTCACTGAGACCCATCCAGGGGGGATATCTGGGGGAGGGTAGGAGGACAGTGACTGCCTGAACACATGAGGTTCCGAGATGTGGCCGGCGACAAAGCCGTTCAACGGTGGTTTTCCATCTAGACAATTTGTCTGGACATGATCCCCAACTAGGCCGGATTTAGAGATGAAAATTGGCTTGACCCGTAGCGTTGGGTTTGCTGACACAGTCTTAGCCGCTGGCTGCTTCTTCTTCTTCTTCGCTTTGTCACCGCCCAGGACTCGGTTATATGATATATGAGGACCCATTTCGTACGGATCGTCCTCGTCAGAGCCGGTGTCGTTTAATACTCCAACACCAATGCCCCCGTGTTGTGCTTGGCCCCGTTTCTTGCCAGGTATGCCCGGTGAAGGCCGAGGACCGCTGGCGGAGCTGTATTCCTCCTCGTCAAAATCAACCCCCCCCGAGCCGATCCGGTGTATTCGATCTGTACCGGATCCAGAGCTCTGTGGGAGTCGAGCTTCCCCTTGGTAGCCCAAGCCTCGCCGGTCGGCCTTACGAGAAAAAGTAATCATGTCGACGTCTCCTGGAGCAAACAGATGGGTTTCTTCAGACGCGGTAGACTGGTTGCTGGCAGAAATGTCCAGCCGTGCTTTTCGGCGTACTTTTGGCCCAATACCTTGTCCATCCTTCCAGCCCATTTTTCGCAGAAGCTTGAGACCCATAGTATCACCCTGTGTTCTTATCAGCCCGGCCAGCCCAGCGGGATGGCATCTGCCTTGACCAGAAGCCCCAAGGGCAGCAAATGGATCAGTGGTCCGGATCTGTTGAGCGGCAGCGGCGTCGGCAAGATCTTCATCGTCCATATAGTCTTCCGGTCGGTGATGGGATGTATCCAAGTTGGTCATCCGTCGGTTAGTGCGGCTCGAAACGAAGGTAGATGGCGTCCAGCCTTCTTTTGATCCAACAGTGTTGAAGTAGCTAGACACCAGCGTTAGCCAATTCAAAGGCGCTGTATACTGGTATGCTGCGGCCGAAAGACTTGTGGCGGGGTCAAGAAACTTACCCAGCGCTCCATCCTCCAGTGAAAGCACCGTGAAGGCGTCGCCGTCCACGATCATCCCTCACTTCCTGCTTGTACACAGGGATGTAGGAGCCATCGTCACGTACGTCTGGGTCCAAGAGGGGCAAAGGAGTGCCAAAAGCAACATGCACAGCGGCTTCATTATACAGATCGGCCTCAAACGTCGCATGCGGCCGCTTGCGACGCGACATGGGACTGACGGTGACGACGAGTGCAATCTGCTACGACTGGTAGTGGTCAGGGGAGGATATCGAAGGCGGGTTGGAACTTGTCGCCCGTTTGGTAGTCCAAGACGTCAGGTTGGTTGCGGCACCTTTCAAGCAAGAAATGATTGAGCAACGTCCCGCTGGTGGGTCTCGGTGTTGAGGCAAGATCTTGGCCGCGGACGTGGAAGTGATGCAATGGACCACCGATGGACCGCCACAGCGTTGATTATCTTGCTCTTATCTTATCGGACACTGTGCTGGTGCGGCAGTAGGTAGACGGAGCAAAGCCGTACATATTTGCAGCCCGCCTGCAGTCGGTTCAGGGCCGAGCCATGACGGGGCTAGCCGCTCTGTTGGGTGTCGGCCTTCGTTGTGGATCATCCACCGCGCAGGGACAATACCTATATGCGAATACCTACTACCAATTACCTACCTACCTCACTACCTACCTACGGACACAGGTTCCTAGGTAGGCAGGTACAGTGGCATGCCAAAAGTCTTGGTACACACACTAATTTCCACAGCTACTGGCATTACCACTGCATCACATTAACTAGCAAGAAAACCATCAACTTTTAGAAATATATTAAACCTACATTTAGAATAAACCTGAAAGTTTACTTGTCAGTACCTATTGTGTATACCAACCTTGCGCTCTTATGACTGCTTTGAAGCGCCGTGGCAAGGTGTACCGTGACTTTTGGCACTCCACTGTACAGGTATATAGTTTAGGATCCGATCGCATACAACGATTCAAGGGGAGGGCGAGGGTGAGGGACAGGATCTGTAAGCAGTCGATTAGAGTGCTAGACTGCAGCTAGATCCAGGTACCTTACTCGCGACCCTTTGCGGTCCTTCATGGTACTTCGCGGTCTCCATCTTTTCCTTTGAGATCCTGAAGGTGATTTGGCATAGCGAAGTTGGCAATTTCCCACGGGAGCCCAACTCCACGCAGTGGTTCCGTTTTGCCAAACAAGGCGCAAAAATACCGCTATGCCCGCTCGAACTAGCATAACAACAGCCCACGGTGCCTTGACAAGGGACTGAAGTACTTGCGTTCCTAAGTACCTGTACCTACCCAGATAGGTATCTCTAGACAAGGTCGAGGCTCTGCTAGACCAGCCAGTCGGTCTGTGCTGTCATTGCTCAGTCCAACACAACTTGGTCAGGTTGCAGCAAAGGAGAAAGCCAGGCGGGCGAGAGGTTGTGTACACACCCCTTGCTAAATGCGTATCTGCACTGCAGTGCCTACTTAGGTGCCTCAGTAGGTACTTGTTTTTGGGGCCGTTTTTCTTTAGCCCCGTTTGCAATCAGTGAAGCACCGATCGGAACCCAAGATGGTTGAACAAAGGGAACTGGCGAACTCTACCACCTAGACTGCACCACAATGCAATTCTCTGGATATACTAGGGTAATACAGATGAGCTGCCCTCCAAAGACATATTAACGTTAAATATAAATTGGAATCAGTGGTTTGGTGTCTCTCAAGTCGTTGATCGAATTACTGACCTACTTAGGCACACCCTAAGGTACTTTACCTAGGTAGGCACACAAGTTAACTACTTACAGAGTCTCTGTAGGGAGCCACTTTAAGTAAGTGGTGTGCGGGGGGTGGAACCTGGTTTTGTCGTCACGTCTGTTGTGTGCTGTGTGCTGTGTGCTGTGCTGCGCTGTGCCTTGATTTTGCTTCATGCTTGTGCTTGGTCCTTTCCTATGCTGTCGAGATGCAGGAACTTTTAAGGCAAAGTACCTAGCTTTGGCCCAGTGTCTACCGGCTAAGTAGATAAGCTATCGGTAGGTTCAAAGACATTCTGTCGGAGTCGGTTTGCTTCTGGCTCAGTAGAGTATCTTGATTATCCGTAATTGCTTGCCACCCCTCCTGGTTCACTCCCCTTATTATTACATCTACTAGTGTGTGCTTGGTCGCGGTACGTAGTGATTATCTGCTCTTCTGCCGGCCCCCGCTCGCCCCAGGTAATTAATCTTGAGAGGGGCATACATAGAATGGCATCGAGTACGTGTGTGTGTGTGTGTGTGTGTGTGTGTGTGTGTGTGTACGAATACTTGGACAAGACCATTGCGGATTACCGATAATGGGCACACACATGCACACATACTCTCTCTGACAACAAACAAGGCCCGCCCCGTCAAACAAAGACAAAACGACGACTTTTGAACCTGATATACTATATTGTCTTTGCCCGAGACATACCTAAACAACAGGGACATTGTCTCTGCCTTGACCGCACGTACCTTGGACGTAGCGCTCGCCCTTCCTCCCTTTCTCGCTCGCCCGCTTCCCTGTTCTCTCTGCCTTGTGCTTCCCCTCTCGGTTCTACCAACCCCAGTCCCGTCCCATCTCCAGCACGTCCTGACCGGTCTGTCCCCCGTCCCCGTCCCTCGCCAGAGCCTGTGCCAGCCGCCAGCACACCCGCGAGCCGTCGCAGCGTCGCATCCCTCTCCTCCTGTTACTCTTCTCCTGTCCCGTGCTGCAATGACAACAGCAATCCCGGCGAGCTCTGATTCCTCCCCGGCGCATGCTCCTCCCCATCCGCCTCAATCTCATCCTCACTCTCAGCCAACCGCCGTAGCGCGCTCCCTCTCTACCCAAATCCGGCCTCCTGTCTCCGCCTCTGGGCCTCCTCCAAAACGTACCTCCTCCACAAACCACCACCATCATCACCACAGCCGAAGTCAACAACTCCAGCAACGCTCCCACTCCCGACAATCCTCCTTTACAACTACTGCCGCTGCCGCCGCCCCTCCTCGTCTCGTTCAAGATCTGCTCCCGCAACATGATTACGAAACTGCAAAAGTAGTCTCCTACTCCAAGCGCACCGTCCCAAGAGACCAACCACCCTCGTCATCTCGCGCTGACGCCTCGCGTCCTCAGCGTCACAGCAGCACCACATCCAATCAGAATTCTCACCATCGCATCTCCGACATGCCCGCAAACACCGCCGTCGCCAACAACGCTGGGCCAGCTCCCGTGAGCAGCCATGGCGCACCCGACCCAAGAAGCCCCGGCGCGACTTCCTCCTCGAAGCATACCAGCAGATCCCGTACCACTATCCCTACCCCATCTGGAAAATGGATTCTGGGCAAGACGATCGGTGCTGGGAGTATGGGCAAAGTGAAACTGGCCCGCAAGGAGGATACAGGCGAGCAGGTTCGTTCCCTCCCTACGCTTTACTTCCACTGTCCTCCCATTCGTTCTGACCCTTGCCCCTTTTGACTCTAGGTCGCCTGCAAAATCATCCCCCGTGGTTCCACAGAGGATGGGCACCAAACCAAAGCAGACAAGGAGAGGGCCGACCAATCCAAGGAGATCAGAACCGCCCGAGAGGCTGCCATCGTTACTCTCCTAAGCCACCCCAACATCTGTGGCATGCGAGACGTCGTGCGTACGAACTACCATTGGTATATGCTCTGCGAATACGTCAATGGCGGACAGATGCTCGACTACATAATCTCGCATGGCAAGTTGAAGGAGAAGCAAGCCCGTAAATTCAGTCGGCAGATCGCCAGTGCTCTCGATTACTGCCACCGCAACAGCATTGTCCACCGAGATCTTAAGATTGAAAATATCCTCATCAGCAAAAATGGAGACATCAAGATCATCGACTTTGGCCTGAGTAATCTTTTCGCCCCGCGCGGTCACCTGAAAACCTTTTGCGGTAGTCTTTACTTTGCTGCCCCTGAGCTTCTCCAGGCTAGGGCCTATACGGGTCCCGAAGTTGACGTGTGGAGCTTCGGTATTGTCCTCTACGTTCTAGTCTGCGGGAAAGTTCCTTTCGATGATCAGAGTATGCCCGCCTTGCATGCCAAGATCAAAAAGGGCCTGGTTGATTACCCCAGTTGGCTTTCAAGCGGTAAGACTACGAATTCGTGGTTCATTGCTGGACTATACGCTAACATGCTGCAGAATGCAAGCATCTGCTCTCTCGAATGCTTGTTACCGATCCCAAACAACGTGCCACAATGCAGGAAGTCATGAATCATCCATGGATGGTCAAAGGATACAGTGGACCACCCGACAATGGCCTGCCGCCGCGAGAGCCGCTTACTCTTCCATTAGACGCTGACGTAGTCAACGCCATGACTGGGTTCAACTTTGGCTCCCCAGACGCCATCAGAGCTCAGTTGACGAGAACGATTGAATCCGAGGAATACCAGCGTGCGGTCAAGCTATATCAGCGTGAAAAGGAGCTCCCCCAGCCGGCCAGAGACGTCGAAAAGAAGCGTGGCTTTGGCTTTGATTTTTACAAAAGGAGGAACTCGGGCAACAGCCGTGATACACTGACGGCGCCAAGTTCCGAGGCTTTGCAGCTTGGCAATGATCCTCTCAACGCATTCAGTCCCTTGGTTTCGATTTACTACCTGGTACGAGAGAAACAGGACCGTGATCACCTTGAGAAGAACCCGGGTGTTCCGAATGCTCCCAAGGAGAAGCCTGCGGTTCCCGAGATCACACCGCCACAAGAGGCGCATACAAATTCATCGGCCTACGAGATGCCTGGTGAGAGGGCCACTGGGGGACGCTCTCGTCCTCGCGCCAGAACTCACGGGGAAGACGAGGCCCCCGATGCGGTCAAGAACTCACAGCTATCACCGACAACACCTCTTTCACCGGAGGTACCTCCTGAACCACTTCCTAAGAAGGAGAGCACGGCAGCTGGAATCCTTAGACGATTCAGCACCCGAAGACGCAGAGATCCGGAGAGGTTAGACAGGGACCGGTCTCATCCCCCGGTTGTTCAGGTTCACTCTCCGTCAGAGGCTTCCGCTCCGTTGCCCCGCAAGAGCTTCAGCATCCGGCGAGGCAGACGGGAACGTGAAGAACCCGACCCTCTCCCACTGCGCTCTGGTAGTAGCCAGCCACAGCACGGTGAGCTCCTCAGTCCACCCTTATCCGCTGGGGGTCAGTCACCGCGCCGTAAGGGTTTGGGCCGATCTACTAGCGTCAATTCCGCAGACATGCGTCGCCGTGGATCAACTCGGGCTCTGAATGAACCGCCACCAACAAGTGGGTCAGACCAGTCAACATCCATGGACAGACCACAACCTGCGCAGAGAGAAAGTCAGCAGACACGAGCGGCCTCCATGCGAGCCAAGTCGCTTGGTCACGCTAGGCGCGAAAGCATCCAACAGCGGAGACTTCGCCGGGAGGAGGCAAGAGAAGCAAATGTCCCTGAGGAGACGGATCAGGAGCACGAGCAAGGCGACCAGAGCGGTGTCTCAACTGACAGGCTTGATAGTTCCGACCTGGCTAAGCCTGTCTTTCTCAAGGGTCTGTTCAGTGTCTCGACAACGTCAACAAAGAATGTGACGGAAATTAGGGCGGATATCAAACGGGTGCTCAAGGGTCTTGGAGTTGATTACACCGAGATCAAGGGCGGCTTCTTGTGCAAGCATACACCTAGTATCGACCTCAAGAAAGTACAGGATCCGCCCGGTAGCCCTGGACAAGCGCCACCAGGGCACAGGAGACGCTTCAGCTTCGGGGCTATCCGAAGTGGCGACCGAGAGAGAGAAGACTTGCGCGAGACGGAGCGAGGCCCTATCACACCACGTGGCACCGGTAGGAACGGGGTCGACCAGAGTTGCTCCAACTCCGATGTCTCAGTCGATAGTGTCTCGCGGGAGGCGGGAGGCTCATCTCGAAGAGTTCCGGGCGAGACGAGCACACACGTCCAAAGTGACCTCGGCGGAAGTATGGTTTTGGAATTCGAAATATTCATCGTCAAGGTTCCGCTGCTCTCCCTCCACGGGATTCAATTCAAACGGTTGGTGGGAAACACATGGCAGTACAAGAACATGGCCGATCAGGTTCTGAGAGAGCTTCGCCTGTAGACGGACAGACTCATGAACAGACAATGCGTACTATTGGCCATGGACTAGCCGGAGTCAGATAGCAGACTTCAGCGGCCTAGGGCGAAGCGTGGATTTGATGGCGCACATTCTCATCATATGGCCATTTCTAGCCTTTGATTTCTTTCCTTTTGTCTCGGCGGCCTTGCTAGCGCCGAGTTGATTGGCAGCCCGATTATCACGGTCAACAGCTTGGGGAAGGATGGCATTGTTTGAATAGGCGCTCATGCAGGCAAACCACGGCGATGCTGTTACAGGCACTAATTCAGTTTTCGGTTACGGAGAGTCAACATTTCTGTATAACACTATTTGTGAGAGCCAAGTCGTGATGTCTATTGTGAGGCCCCCAAAACAGATGCTCATTATGCTGCCGCGGAAATATATGGGCTCGGGTGGGCACATAGCTCAACAACTTTCCATCAAACTGCACAGAATACGGAGTAACAAGCATTTGAATTCGAGACCCACCTGCGAAGCTGCCCCCCAACGGCGGCTCTGTAGGCCCGGGCTAGATACAGATATTGCATGCCTGAGGTAAGCTGTGGCCATGCTGTCTGTGGGGAGTGTCCCTGAGTCGGCCCAGTGCGGGTGGCCCGCCCTCCAACCAAAGGAAGGCCGGATGCCTTCTTCTATTAGGTAATCCGCTGTTAGCTCACACGCTGTCACATTGCGGTCGCCTCGTCTGGCCTTGCGTACCTTCCTTGCTTGCCTTTGCCTTGTCTGGCTCAATCTTCAACCTTTCCTGGTTTATTGTGTGCTTCACACAACCTCGACTTCGAATACGCACTTGCCTCCTCACCCACGTGCTCAGGTCTTCCGAAAGGTTCGAATACGCGCAACCGCAATACGCACCCTTGCGCCTTCGTCCGCAATCTCCTAATACCTTGCGACCCAGCTTGCGCGCGCAGACACCCAACGCCTGCACGCACCCCGCGAAATTGACCCCGACAGACCGCTGCCCACCGCACATCCATCGACATCTCCGTCCTCACAGCCGCGACCCACCAGCGTCAAATCCGTCGACCGCTACGCCACTAGTTGAGAAAGATTGGAGAATAATCAAAGAAAGACTATCTGGTCGTCAACAAATCCTGAGCCTCTCACCTCCCGGCTGGTACCACTTTGGACTTCTTCCATCTTAACATCTTCCGCCGAACACACTGACCTGGGTCTTCAAGATGATGCCCGCACAGCACGTTTACGGACACCACCAATTCAATCCACAAGCCGACTCGGCATGGATGCATCAGCAGTCAAACCAACACCATCATGCCCAGCAAGCTGCTGCCGCTGCCGCTTCTGCCGTCCAGCAGCAACAGCAGCAGCAGCAGCAGCAGCAGCACTATAACCGACTCGCTGGAGGTCACTCTGCCGTTCCTTCCCTTGGCAACACGCACGCCCCGGATGGAGGTCACGACAATATTTCTGAGGATAACCGAAGAACCATGGCCTACATAGCTGATCTCTTAAACGAGAGCACTCGTGAGGCTGCTCTTTTGGAGCTCAGTAAGAAGAGAGAGCAAGTTCCTGAGCTAGCTTTGATTCTGTGGCATTCATTCGGTAAGCTTGCATTCTCGAAATAGAGTGTACGAATAAATCATCTAACGCCAAGTTCAGGAGTCATGACCTCCTTGTTGCAGGAAATTATCTCGGTTTACACCCTCCTGAACCCGTCCCAACTCACGGCTGCGGCATCCAACAGGGTGTGCAATGCCCTAGCTCTTCTCCAGTGCGTCGCATCTCATAACGATACGCGCACGCTTTTCTTGAATGGTATGACGCTCCACACCAACTCTCTGGGTCTCTCATCTGGTCATGAGCTCACACACATCTAGCTCATATCCCGCTCTTTCTCTATCCCTTCCTTAACACGACATCGAAATCGAGGCCATTTGAATACTTGCGCCTGACGTCGTTGGGCGTCATCGGCGCCCTTGTCAAGAACGACTCGTCCGAGGTTATCAACTTCCTTCTGACCACAGAAATCATCCCTCTATGTCTTCGTATTATGGAAACGGGCTCCGAGTTGAGCAAGACTGTGGCTATCTTCATTGTACAGAAGATTCTCCTGGACGACAATGGCCTGAACTACATCTGCGCCACCTACGAACGCTTTTATGCCGTGGGCACCGTCCTAAGTAACATGGTCGCTCAGCTTGTTGAACAGCAGACTGCACGTTTGCTTAAGCATGTCGTCAGGTGCTTTCTCCGGTACGTTTCACTCATTTTCTTGCATGGCAGTTGTGGTCCATGGCTAACTGGTAGGCATCGAACAGGCTAAGCGACAATGCTCGTGCACGTGAAGCCCTCCGCCAATGTCTCCCAGAGCCTCTTCGAGATGCGACCTTTTCTTCCGTGCTTCGGGATGACGCGGCAACGAAGAGATGTCTAGCGCAACTTCTCATCAATCTTTCAGACAATGTCGTCGAACCCCCCCAAGGGGGGCACCCAGGCCTGTGAGGCCAAACTTACTTGACATACTGTAACGTTTTCGGGCCAACATAGACTCATGCATAACACGGCGACTCGGAGGTCAGTGATTTCATTGGAAAACGCAAAAGCGTCGTGGCCTTATTGATACCCGCTTTCTTTGTTCCGGCTTGGGGCATATCTGGTTGATCTGGAACGCATCTTCGACTCGCGGTTTTCATTCATTCTTTCTTTGTCTGTAGCATCGGAAGGGACGGAACAAAAAGCAAGGGTTTTTTTTTTTCTTCGCCGTTCAGGGCTGGCGATGGGCGATGGGGCTACGTCATTTCGTCATTTGATTATATGGTAAGGAGCAGTCGGATTGGAAATGGCGCCGGAGACCGGGGGTGAATGACCGTCACGGGCTCTTTGGGCACGATGCAAGACTATGTGGTGTTGTTATCGCCTTATGTTCGGCGGTGAAAATGGCAGCACTGACTTCTCTTGGGTGGCTCAAATATGCGAGCTGTCTTTCTGGCAGCGGGTTGGGGGGAGTACGGGGTTCTGGTGCTGTTGATAGAACTCAACTTTCCCATGTACATCAAGGCTCAATTCCAACATCCAATTTGATTCAACTAGACTGACCACCACCCACTCTGTCCCGTTCAATCCAGCTGCTCCCCCTATTCGCAATATCCTATATTCATCACTATGCACGTTGGCGTCTCTCTGCGTTGGCCAGTACAGTCCCTTATTACAATCAGCTCTGATGTCTGCGTGCTGTTTTTCTGCAAACCAACTGCAGAAGAGAGTGCCTCTACATAGTTATACGCGCAGTGTTATCGGCAAGGGCTGACCTCAGTGCGTGATTCATCGTTGTTTATGTAGCTGGCATGTTCCATGACCTGCTTAGCCACTAAGACAACAAACCATGCACCCCTGCCAAGTACACATGCGATCTTCAGGACAAAAACTACATTTGCGATGTAGCCCTGGAGAGCACGTATTGGTATTGGCAGGCCTACGTTGGCCGAGTGTGTTGGATGGAACTCGTAGACTGTCGCTTCGCCTTTGTGTTGGTCTGCCCGAATATAGCAAGATCCCGTACAGACGGATCCAACCTTCATATGCTGGAGACTGTGATATAACGGTGTTGCACATCTGGCCGGTCGTTTGACAAGTAAAGATCTCGACCAGCAAACAGTCATCAAGCTCTCTCACACACCAAGGTTAGTGTGACTGATTCCAACCTGCATCTTTCCAGTACTGAAACCCGGAGGCGACCGTTGCAAACATGGTCGAATGCACACTAATCAGTCCAATTGCTTCGGTACCCCATGCAAGGAGAAAGTTTCCACATTATCTCGACTGCCGAAGACAAGCAAACAAACCCGTACTCAGGAGAAACAGATTATAGCATTCGGGTGGGCTTACTACTTCTTGATTCTTGCCGCTATTGTTGTTGGTGGCAGATAGTGTTGACTTCTGGCGACTCTGCAGAAGCATCACTGATATTCCTGTGACTCAGAGTATGACTTGAAAAGAAGCAGGCCATTGCGATTTAGGTAGATCATAGAGACTGTTGAAGAATGAGATCTACGGGAATGCTAGTAGCAACCGTCGGGAGCTGTAGGTAAAAGGCACTATGTGACATTGATCGCCACACTCCCTTTCATAACCTAAAATCTGCGATCCGCCTTTGGAGCCTATTTTGCAGAAAATTGGCAACATCAGCATACTTAGCACGCCTACGCCATGATATGAAGCGGGCACGGCACAGGGCATCACAATGACCAAACGGCGAACACATATACTAATTACGCAGCGATGTTTCCAGCTTCGGCACAGTAAGCCCAGTGCTCCCTCGTAGCCTTTTTCTAATCTAAAATAGTAGCAAAATATCATCTTTTCGCTCTCCAAGTGTATTATGCTGTTTGGGGAACTGCTCCAGACCAGCTCGCACCATCGGAACTACAAGAGAATCCACTCTTGAGGACTACTATCACCGGGTAGAAATCTTGCACTTTACCCACAGCTTCACGAGCTTACAGTCATTTCTGAAGATCGCATTCAAATTGAAATTTGTCAACATCATAGTGGAGATTGCTATTGAACTCTGTCGTCACTCAGCAACACGTATATGACTAGCGGAAGTGAAGTATATAACTAAACTCGAGTGATGACTGATTAGGACACCTCATACGCTAGACATTGAGCGATGGGATGATAGCTTCTGGTCCAAATTGGGACTCATATTACAGAGGATGAAACTAATAAGACAGCATGTTGACGCCGACAAGAACAACGGCTAGAGTATCCATGACCTATGGCACCAGGCCAAAGCCACCGAGCCGGGCCCATCGCCGCAAAAGTCAAGACGAAAGAAAACAGTGGTCAGAATTCCAAGGCAGCATCGGGCTCTAAACCGGGAAGGAATGGAGCCTTTTCTCTCGGAGGATATCTGGATGGTTGTGGCAGCGTAATGGGCAAAGCTCCTGATAGGATTCCGAGGTCAATCCTGTTGCCGAGAATTTGCACCAGGGCGCCGGGGCAATCAATCCCATGAACCTGAATCATGGGCCGTGTCTCCAGAGACAGCTGTGATTACTCTCGCTTCTACGAGTTGCCAATGAAGAACGACAGATAAGACGAAGGGAATGATGTGGTACATTCTACTGAAGCAGGGCTCAAGGGGCGCAACTCAGGGCGCTCAGAGCACGAGGGCAGAAAACCCTCACGACGATGCCACCATAACTGTTGGTCCATAGTCTTCGTTGGCGTTGGGCATCGTAGCTCCGTCGAGGCTAACCTGGGTGAGTCTCGCAACGAGCATGTTGGTAGCTAGCATGTACAGGGTTCATAAGAGCGTGAGTGAAATTTTGGTATCCGAGAACCAGAGCTTGCCCCTCAGCAGCAACCAGTACGGCGGGCTGCCGTTAAAAGCTTACCAATCCAGCCCTAAAATACACTTCCATTGGAAAATAGCCCGTTTATATCCACCCCAATGGATAGTTGACAAATGTAAATCCGTCCTTGCTCTATGGCCTCACAGATGGGTTTTGATGAACTTGTCAGTAAACATCTCAGGTCGGGTGCGCGGCAATTGGCGGCAAGCTCTGATGCTTGATTTGGGAGGTATGAGGGCGGCAAAGATGATGGTAGTTGATAAGATTTACCACTGCTACTCATGTTTCTAAAGATAGGCATACAAAACCCTATCGGACAAGGCATGGCAGCATTAGAATGTCATCTTTCGTAGTTTGTGTCACGTTTTCATGGCCTGGCACACCCCTGGGTCTAAAGATGAACAACAAGAGACCGCTGGATGCCTTGCCAGCCCTACGTTCTCGTAGTTTCCTCGCAAGAGCCGCGACGGAAACAACCCAATGCCGTGCTGTTCAGATGAAAACAAGGGTTCAAAAAAGTCAAGGGGAAAAAGGAGGGAAATACAATAATAAAGCGTCTTACTGCCATGCGGGCTGGACTTTAAGCGTCTGCCTGATTTGGAGGTGGCAGGGCATGGCGCCCATCGGGCTGTTAACTGGCAAACGCGACGCAATGCAAGACGATAGTATATGCCTAGCTCAGAAAAGGTGCGGAGAGTATGGAATGGCTGACTTGGTTGAACGGAACGGACGGACGGATGGGTGGCTTGAAAGATTGGTGGTCGGAGGGGGGGGGGGTTGACAGTCGAAGTTTGGTCCGAAGGACGTCGGATGCAACGGGATTTGAGAAGAGGACAGGCGCTAGGCCACAAATAGACACCGTTTGAATGGTTACACACAATGCGGCTTAGGGCCAGCCCAGAGACTTCCAGCCTGCCTCTGGAGGCGCAGGTGCAGGTGCAGATGCTGGTGCAGGCTCAGCTTCTCGTGTGTAGCGGTACGTACCCATCGATGCGTACACCTGCACCCCCCGGTCTTCCGCCTTTTCCTCACCAAAGCACAGGTGGCCACACCCAAAACTGGCGGTGGCCTTACGGCGCCGAGAGGACAAGACAGATACACGTTGATTAAGTCGTACGCAGACAAGCCTGGGCATGATGAGTTTGACCTGTAAACATACCCAAGGTTCACTATGTTGGCCTTATTCTCCCTCTCCCTTCTCTCCCTGTTTACACATAAACACATGTAAACACTCACACACACACACACACACACACACATACACACACACACACACACACACACACACACACATATACACACACACATACGTATAGAGTACTTGTCGCACCTGGGACTTGCTCTAAGATGTACATAAATCACTTGCATATGTCTGCTGAGGGGCGGAGGCGCCATTAAGCCCCTTCCGCTGACGCGCCGTTGAGCCTAATCAGTCATATTAGGGGGAGGAGCGGGTGTCTAAATGCCCGTCTCGGCGTACACTTTCCCTATCTCGTTGTACCACCAACGTTTTAAGCCCACGAACGAGTTGGATAGACGAAGGCGTCCGTTAAGGCCAACGGTCGCATTCGTGCGTACTGATGCAGACGCGGAGAAAGATCCAGGTGCAAACTCGTAATGATGAGAGCTTGGGCTTTATTTGCATTTATTGTGTTGCACACTACCCTTTTGGCTGTACTACATGCGCGACCACCCTGCGCAGCCCGCACTAGCGGCAGACATTATGTGATCGGGGGCCATGAACAGCAAGCGAAGAGCGATTACCCTACATAGTGTAGTTCACGCCGGTAGACTACTCCCCTCTGTAAGACACTGATCACATACGCAGTACCTTCATGAGTGTAAAACTGGTAGGCTTTCTGGACCGACTTGATTAGCTTCCCTGTCGTTTCGGCGTGACTCCTACGGCCCGACCATACCTTCAGACGCATGCAGGGTGCATGCAGGGATGTTCGATTGGACAATCATACGCGTAGGTGAAGACACCAAGACAATGCCCCCTTGTGTCTAGCCAGTCCAAGTCGAGACTCCCGTCGAGCTAGTGTACTAGCCAAGAGGAGGCTGCCCCAGCAGGCACTCGCTACAGAGGCGTTGCCTTGGGATTGGCCATCAACCGAACCAGTCGCGGCCCGTGTGTCGTATACGTACACTAGAAGGAAACAAAAGTCCCACCGTGCCGGCCATTGTTGCTTTGTAGCAGGCCAGGCTGAGAGGTAGGCATTATGGTATTAGGGTGAGCCCCTGACGATTGCCAACCATCGACATGTGCCAAGGGCCACGGCCAGAGCCACGTCCAGTGGCCACGCCCATCGTTGTGTGTCATCTCGTAGCCCTCGCACTTGGTGGCCGCCAGACCGACTGTCACTGGCTTGAATGGCTTGTCATCTCTCGGACACGCAAGTACCTAGGTAGCCCAGCCATGGTACCCCAGACGTCGCCATGTCGACGTGGAGCCCGACGTTACAATCAATTGTCTGCATCGGTGTTTGGGTTGATAACCCCAAATCCCGAACCTGCGGGTGGGATCCGATATCGAGCGGCTTCGGGTACGGTAGCAGGCTGCCTACCTGGACATGGTTAGGACAGACGCACATATACATACGTACACCCTGCAGTGGCCTGGCGATGGTCGGGATTGAGATGAGCGGATGCTTTTAAAGGGAGTTTTGATGCGGGCATGGCAAGGCATGAGGGTTTTGCCTAGTCTGGGCAAGATAATGCGACGATGCATCGACCAAGACAGGCGTTGTTCTCCAAAGGCCGCTGAGAGCACAATGACTGACAGCTGAGGTGCATCAGAGATGGGAAGATGCAAATACATGGACAATGTAAGGGCAACTTCGAGATGGGAAGAAGGCGCGAAGACCGAGCAAACGGCGGAAAGTTCGGGGTGTCTCGCCCGAGCGTTCGGTTGTTGCAGCCTGTACTACAGGACTTGGTACATGGCCAGGCCCGCTACCTACCTGGGTAGGTGGGAACACTACCTAGCAAGGTCCGCGCCTAGGCGAGGTCACGTCCTACTACGGGCAGGCCAAGCTGGGGTCACACAGCATGACACCCCCCCCCCCCCCCCCCTGTGTTTTCTAAGTGCTGACACAAGACTGCCCAATCAGCAGCTGTCTATGTCGCTCCTTCAGCCCTACCGCCCCCCTGCTCCTTTACGGTGTCGCCGACGCTTGGCGTGTGCGCCAATGCTCCTTCAACCCCGCCATGGTCCTCCGCCTCTTGCTCTCATATCAGTCCTTTTCCCGCCTGCTTCGTCCTCACTAATCGGTCCCCCAAGCCCTGTGTAACACGTCTCCTCCGCCTTTTCCCCTCGTAACTCGCGCGATGGATAGACGTGCCTGAACCCCCCCCTTAACCGAAAGGTCGCCTGCGCGCGCCTACGACGTGCGTGTGCAACGAGCGCCCATGCCCATTGGCTTACATAACACACACCCCACCTTCTTCTTCTCTTACACGCCTACTCGCACTCCCCTTGCACAAATCAGCAACGACGTACTCTATTTAGGCATGTCTTATTCACCTTTTGGATTCCTCCCAGAACTAGCCGAGCCGGGAGCCTCATGCTGCTACACAAGGAACAGGACTCTGCTCTGCATACCGTACGTCATGCATGGCCAGTATGAGCAGTCTACGGATAGTTGATTTCAAATCTACTCAACTGACACCGACTCTCTGTCTGCGGTGCTATCTACCGTCTGCTTCTCCAATCTCGAGTTACCTACCTTAGTTAGCCACACCGCCACACCGCCAGAGCACTCAACGCCCTCCACCCTCTTCTGCCTCCGGACGAGTGCGCCTTTTGCAATCAATGCCTTGCTAGGTATGCTTCACACAGGGCCTGAGATGGCCATTTGTTCTGTTACATACCTCTATGCATGCGCTAATTTCAAGCCTTGGTAATGGTTGTGACCAGAAGACGGCGAACCCAACATTTTATCCCTTGACAGCCAATGTAGCTGGTCGCTTGGTTGACTTTCCGTCCCCGCCGACAGGATACCACCTACCCACCCAGCTAGCTCCAAGCGCCGAGATAGTTTAGGTCCAGCTTGATATTCCGCTCACACTCTCCCTTCCAGCCATCATCAGCCATACGCATGCGGCATCATCCAGAGCACACGTTGCATCCGTAGCCTTGCCCCTACCGTGCGCGCTGTAAACTACCTTACCGGAGGTACCTCGCGGCACGGGTGGAAGGGCGACGGCGGGTGTGGGGGGAGAGCTGCGTTGCCATGAGGTACCACACAGCCCTACGAGCCTCCGCCCCTATTCAAATAAACGTCTTACTGGCGCATGTAAACCCATCATCTTGCTGTGCGGCGTGGATGATGCAGATAGTCGCCGAACAGCCGACCCCATCATATTGCACGTAGACAATGCTACGGCCGCTCCTGTACCGAGCCCTCCGTCTCTGGAGAGAGATGACAAGGATGGAAAGGGTACGCTTCCCAGCCTCAGGCCACATCGTGCTGCTGATGTTGATACCCACTGCTGTGGGTTTGTTGTTCGATACGGATACACTCGCTGCAAACGATACATTTGTACATGTGCCGGGCATTTCTTCTTCGGACCGATGTCGCGTTTAGATAAGAGTGGAGGGGCAAAGGAAGTTGAGCACAATTCGTAAAGACACCCCCCCTTTCCGCAGCCTGTTGCTCCCGGTCAACTTTGGGGGCCAAGATGTTTGCCGTGGAGTGCAAGGGCGCAGCTGCTGGATACACCAAACCAGTAACGGGGGAGGGATGGAGGGAGAAAGCGGGTCGTCGTTGATGATTCTGCACCGAAAAAAAAACGAAAAAAAACCCCCCATGGCCGAATGAAGCAATCGTCCACCATCCACTTGCGACTCACCGGCGCAGATAGAGCCGTCGTTGTCAACTCATCCAGAAATAGACCAGGAAACAAATGTCCATCGGAGCGGTATGCGAGCGGAACCTATTGGTTGGCCGTCTCTAGGCAGCAGCATTCGGGGCGGAGTTTACCAAGCAGCAGCGCCATTTTCCGCAACACCGTTCATTTTGACACCCCGGTCTGTAAAGGAATCCCGCCTGTGTAGGTTATTAATTAGCGTACGGATATTCGTAGGTACATACATACCTGTAGTAGATCAAACCCGGGGAATGGGTCGGGTCGTACAGGGTGGCAGGGCCAAGTTAATTACCCCTATGATATTACCCCCCACAGCTGATATCATAATATAGAGGGTGAATATTCACCAAAGTGAAGTCCTGTAGTAGGGGGGTGAACATTATTTAACTAACAGGGGTAATTAACTTCGGCCTGGTACCATCGTACGAGCAGCCTGCCAGCGACGGAGGGGAAGCAGGCGGGGCACACTCACAGAAAATGCGAGCTGGCCAGTCACAGCCCTTGGCGACAAGTTTAAGTGGCGACGGGCCCCAAGATTCCAAGAGGAAACGGATGGAGAAGCGCTTGCCACCTGGTGGCCCGTGTCGGTGCTGCCTCCCGACCAACGGCTTCCCGACGAGCATCTTGGTGGGGGAAGACGGGGAAATGGATTAGTACCGAAAGCCACACCCGCGCGCAGTTCTGCACCCTTCGGGCGAAGCATTTAGAAATCCGGGCTTGGTAGCCAGTCTGAACCGTTGATTGTGTGGGCTTCGTCAGAACTCAAAAGTCGTCGCTGGATCGGATCCCAGCAAGAGCAGTCCTAGGACACTAGTCGCGTGAAACATGATTGGCACCAAGAAATAGACATACTTATGCTGACGAGAAGGAGCCAACGCAGCCCCCATTCCAGCCATGGTCGCGCGCAGAAGATCAATAGTTGATGCAAAAGTCTCAAGCATATTGGCCAGTTGCTGCCCCCCCCTGCCAGACGCCCGAGGATTCAAAGTCGCGGGCTGGGGCCTAAGCCACTGATGAATTTCCTCCTCTGCTTGCTTGGACAAAGCCAATTTCGGCAGCGCGTAGGGCTATCCAGTAGGAGGGCCGGCACTGTAATCGTCCGCTGGTGTCCAAGTGTGCTGATCCCGCAACGCCAACACAAGTCTCGATACGTGGTCGAGTCACAGCACCCTATCGGTAATCCCATAGTTGCCAGGGGTTTGCAGATATGAGCACAAGTAGAGCACCTACACTGTCACCAAGAGTTGACCGACAGAGGCGGCATGGCAGGCACCATCGAAA